TTCATATGAAATATTTAAAATCTGCAAGTCACAAGTAAATGTTCTATTGAATTATTGTAAATTACACTACAAAATATTATATTAATTGTATATTAATAAAATATCAATATTATATATAATATCAATTAAACGTATTTAATTGGAAATATATCAAATAATAGAGAAAATTCGTATGAAATATTTAAAATCTGCAAGCCACAAGTAAATGTTCTATTGAATTACTGTAAATTACACTACAAAATATTATATCAATTATATATTAATATTTAATATCAATTATATATTAATATAATATCACAATATTATATATAATATCAATTAAACGTATTTAATTGAAAATATCAAATATAATAGAGAAAATTCATATGAAATATTTAAAATCTGCAAGCCACAAGTAAATGTTCTATTGAATTATTGTAAATTGCACTACAAAATATAATTATAATCACCTCCGTTGAATTATTGAAACAGAGAAAGAAAATATCGAATCGTCTTCTCCGTTCGTTAAAAAGTTGCAGATTTTCGGTCTCCGGAGCCTCAATTTTTCAGGCTGTGTGCCACCGAGAAACCCTGACGTAGATAATAATGAATGTTGTTTGTTAACACAGATCTAGAAAATATTGTTGCGCTGTATCGCAGCATCTCCGTTTGAAAGAACAAAAAAAATGTATGCAATGATAAAGCGATGAAAAAACGTCCACACGCGTACCGCGATTTATTCGAACGTGCACGGTTCCTGCGAAACGACACAGAGCTAATACTTTTTACGGTTTAACGAGCTTCTTTTCCTTTGCGTTTCGCGCCCATTTTCTTGCTATTCACTGATTCAGCATGTCACGATACGTTACGTTGACCCTCGCAGTAACGATCATATATCTTCGTGCTTCGACTTTACAGCCCATGAATTCCGAAAAGCTTGTCGGGGCCCAGTAAATTCTACTCTCCCCGGGAACGTACACGTTTCCACTCACTTGCCGGTGATGTGCCTGCGGGCTGGGAATCATTATTTATTAGAATACTTCATCGAAAACCGATTAGTCTGTTTCCCTACGTGAAATAAACGTTCCGCTCGGTTTATCCAAGTTTTTTCCAACGAGTTCGTCCGAAATTAGCAGGCTTCAAACTTTTCGGCGATGTAAAGTTTTTCTTCGTCAGTCGACAAAGACAGGATCTAAATTGGGTTTTGAAAAATTCTAGTACGTAAGAAAAAGCGAGACTGCGGTAAATTCTCCCTAATCGACGGTCAATTTGGAAACAAAAATGGACAGTTTGGGATGAGGAGGCTCGAATAATCGTATCTCCTCTTCCCGAATTGTCAATTAGGGAGAATTTACTGTATTCTGTAATTGAATAGAATCTTAGCCCATAAATTAGAAAACAAAATGAACATAAAATTCGCAATTCTTGATTCATTTACACTCTATAATTACCAGATTCCGAATTTTGAACAAAATTCTACTGGGCAAATTTATATGGAAATTTATATGGATTTGAGGTCAAACGAAATTTTTATTTTTTCTATCAGATCATTCCAAAATCAAGCGGTCGCAGTTTTGGACGCATGTTTTTAGATCATTCTACAATTTCTTAGACTTTTAGAACTCCGTGCACGATTCAAAATCTTGTAATTAGTTTCTTGGAAACGTAACTTTTGAAGTTATCTTTGAGCAAAATTTTAAACGTTCATAATTTATTGACAGATATCGACACGATATCACCGACATTACGTGTATAAAAATTGAAAGTTCTATTTAAAAAATACGACATCCTAGATATTTACGTCTTAAGTTACCAGTTTTGTGAAAGAGCGATTTATTTCTTAAAAAATACAATAAATTCTCCCCAATTTTTCTTTAGTTTAGAAAAGAAAGATACGATTAATCGAGCCTCGCGGCTCATTTTTACAGTTGCCGATTGTCAACAATTCTAAAAGGGTCAATTCTTCAAGGCTCAAATAATCGTACTTTCTCTTCCGAAATTGTCCATTTTCGTTTACAAGCCGAAGGAAAATTGGGTTAAATTTACTCTAAATATTTCACGAGTGCTAATAATGCTCGACGAATTTTCTGTCTAGCATTAAGTCATAGTTTCTCAAATAAAATACTATGGACATTGTTAAATTATATTTTTCTAAATAAATGCATCTTGCTGACAAAGAGTTTGAAAATGGAACGTTCTGTCTAGCATAGGTCATAGTTTCTCAAATAAAATACTATGGACATTGTTAAATGATATTCTTCTAAATAAATGCATCTTGCTGTCAAAGAGTTTGAAAATGGAACATTCTGTCTAGCATAGGTCACAGTTTCTCAAATAAAATACTATGGACATTGTTAAATGATATTCTTCTAAATAAATGCATCTTGCTGACAAAGAGTTTGAAAATGGAACGTACGCATGTCCGAGAGAATAGGTTGACAAAATATCCGTGGTCGAAAAGAATTTCTCCAAGAGTGTGACCCTTCGACGTTGAATAATTCATCGATATTTTCGATAGCATAAAGGGAATAAGAAAATCTATGAAACTCTATATTATTCTCAATTTGTACATTTTCGTAGACCGGAAAGAATGGTAGATCATTGAATAGTTCTTGTATCATACGTTTGCGCAGATATTATGTAGACCAAAGCCATTGGGATCGAAACAACACTGTTGCGCAACCAGCACTGGCGGTCTTGACGTTTGCAGCATGGCCGGTGTTGATTTATCAGGTATGTATGTAAACTATCTGGCCGCATCAGGGAAATAAATACGGCATAAAGCGTTTTTGCGTATCATTACTGCAATCCAAATATTGACCATCGTCCAACGTACTATACTATATATATGTATATGAGCGCACAGTTCACTGAAACGCGGCGCAGCACCTCGGATCTACATAACCGATAACAAAACTGCAGATCTTTTTTACATAATCCAATTTTCTATGTATAAACACGTTGAAGAACCGTTTACTTCGGGCTACGTACAGTTACTCGCAAAAGTATTCGGGAACTGGTACAACTTTCATTTCTACGCCTATGTTTAAATATTACAGGGAAATATGTAATCCTTTACGGTATATTAAGGTGGGGTATATAAATTTCGAAATGCAAGAAATTTTCGATGTAATTTATTTCGATTAAACTTTCGTGTAAAATGTTACCGACATAATTGAGAAAGTATTTTGAAAAACGTCGAATTTCTTAATGCATCTGGAGAAATTGCAATGGTAAAATTGGAATGCATTTTTGGCCCATTTGCCCGCTAATATCGATGTAATATGAGGAAATTCAATCAGAAATGCATTTAATACTTATTCGGACGCCTTATAAAATTCAGTTGGAAAGTTATAAAAATCAATTTGAAATGCTACTTTCTTTTTTATATTTTTTCAATTACGTAAATAACGTTTCACAGTAAATCGAAAGTTTTTTGTATTTGGACGCTATTATACTCTATATTATTATTATTCTCTATATTATACTCTAAAGTAAATCGAAAGTTTTTTGTATTTTGACGCTATTATACTCTATATTATTATTATTCTCTATATTATACTCTACTTTAATGCACAGTAAACGCGCGCGATTCTTTCCCATCGATGTACATTTATTTAAATATATATGACGTAGAAGACAAAGTTATAACAGCACATAATTTTGCACATCACTTTTTCCAGGTTTAGAACGCTGTTCAATGGATCGGTGTTCAATGGCTCGGTGTTCCTCTTCATCATTAACTAATACGCTACCGCTCCCATGGGAAACTGGACACATAGCACATAGCGATGCCACGCCTACGTGAGGTACTTTGAACAATTCATTTCTAACGCGACTTTTGCAACGTTATACATACATATAATGACGGCCATATATTATATATATATACATAATATTATATTGTACATTATATGTATATGGATATGGTATTATATTATATTAATATACTGGGTGTCCCATAATTGTGGTACCTCCGGGAAATTAGAGATTCCTGAGGCTATTCGAAGCAACTTTTTCCTTTACAAAAATGTTCTCCGAGGCATCGTTTACGAGTTATTAACGAAAAAGCACTGACCAATGAGAGGCGAGAGCTCGCCTAGCGCTAGGCGGCCGAGTCAACGAGTGGTCGAAGCCCAGTTCCATTGATTGGCTCGGCCGCCTAGCGCTAAGCGAGCTCGCCCCTCATTGGTCATCGCTTTTCGTTAATAACTCGTAAACGAAGCTGCGAATTGCATTTTCGCTAAGGAAAAAGTTCCTTCAAATCACCTCAGGAACCCCTTTTTCCCGAAAATACCATAATTTAGGTATTTGTTACATTTGAGACCGCTTGAAAAACGCGGTACAACTTACATGCGCGATTTAAACGCCCGTCAATAGATGTTTTAATAATTGTCATTTGGTTAGCAATTAATTGAAATAGTTGAACACCCAAGGGCACTAAATTTGTAATGGGATCCTGAAATGCGATCTACTCGAGCGAGGAATGCCCTGGGCTATTTGTAATGGGAAAGCGGGGCATGAACTTTAAGTTGACTTCTCGTCTTCAGCAAAATTAGGAACGCGACCATAATTGTCTACGAATGTACAAGCCGAGCTTCTGCCCGCTCAGAGTGACTATTGCCCGCTCGCTTCTAACTCTAACATTAATGATGAAACTTTTGCAACTACATCTACGGCGCGCGTAGATCGCCTTGGCTCTCGCTCGGTCTCGTGGCTTTCCGCTTCCGGTTCCGACGAGAGGACACGTGCCTTGCGATCTGATCTGGCAGCTGCTTTTCCGGCCAATGTGACTTCTCTCTCAGAGACTATTATTATTCGTTCACACCCATGATCGTATATAAAAATCAGATCGATTGTATTCGATTTTTTTTAATTTTTTAATATATAATTATATATTAAATATTAATATTATATATATTAAATTATCTAATACTAACTTAATAATATAATATATTTTATAAATTATCTAATACTAACTAAATAATATAATAATAAATAATATACTATATTATTTCATAATATATATTATTTTAATCGAAAAGTGGCTCCTTTATTGATGCAATCATAGCTAGGTAGTTAGTATTAGAATGCATTTGAATGCAACGCAGCCTAAGTTTATTCATGTCGCAATTTAAAAAAATAATAATATAATAATAATAATATAATATAATATAATAATAATATAAATAATATATTATAATAATATAATAATAATATAATATAATAATATATAATAATAATAATAATTTTAGTATCGTTTCACGTGTTCAGTATGTGTTCTGCATCATTTTTAAACTTTAGCACGTGTGAATTCAGAGCAGAGAGTCATCATTTTACTGTTTTTGTTTAAAAAAGTACCGATCTTCGTATTTTACAATTTCGCTAAGACGAATCTCAACCGGTAGACACCTCAGTGATAATCAATAAACAATATTTCTTTGATACACGTATCATGTAAAATTACAGCTTGTAAATATAGACATAATGTACCTAATTGTGCATTTCTCAATTGAAGATCATACATCGTCTTAACAAATAAAATAAAAATTCTAAGACGTGCCTAAGATATACATTTTCATATAATTATATCTTGTAAAATGAATATCTTTTTGTATAAATTTGATATACGTACAAAACACGCTCGTAGCTACTTTTCACTTATCGTTTTGCTAGTTTCAAATTCGTTTCGCCGAAACGAACTTTGCGTATAAAACGTTTTATCTCGGTAATGATTTGCTGCGTATAAACCAGGAAAATTTAGTTCACCTTTTAGAAGATAAACTAGCTTCGCAGCATTCGCAAATATAAACTGAAACATTAGGAATCTCTAACGCAAGAAGTTTTCTAACGCGACAAGTGCATTTTCGACACCGAATAGGCACGCTTCATGTTTCACGCATAATAGCTAAATTAACTGTACAGTGGCTGCACAGTTCGCACACAAGAGATTGCTACGGGGACCAAAGTAGGGTCCGTAGTTAGCGAACGAGCGAAGAGAAAACGTGCGAGCATGAACGAACGCGAATGAACGGCAACGAGTGCGGATATAAACGCGAACGAATGCATTCGAGCAGACAAAGTTCAATTCACCCTATGTTTGTTCATGTCCCATCCGACAATCCGGTGTTAGTTATCGTGCAATCTCGTTGTGTGAATGAAGTACAGTAAATTCTCCCTAATTTCCCTTCAGCTTTTGTACAAAAATGGACAATTTCGGAAGAGAATTATTATTAATAATAAAATTTATCGTACAATCTCGTTGTGTGAATGAAGTACAGTAAATTCTCCCTAATTTCCCTTCAGCTTTTGTACAAAAATGGACAATTTCGGAAGAGAATTATTATTAATAATAAAATTTATCGTACAATCTCGTTGTGTAAATGAAGTACAGTAAATTCTCCCTAATTTCCCTTCAGCTTTTGAACAAAAATGGACAATTTCGGAAGAGAATTATTATTAATAATAAAATTTATCGTACAATTTCGTTGTGTGAATGAAGTACAGTAAATTCTCCCTAATTTCCCTTCAGCTTTTGAACAAAAATGGACAATTTCGGAAGAGAATTATTATTAATAATAAAATTTATCGTACAATCTCGTTGTGTAAATGAAGTACAGTAAATTCTCCCTAATTTCCCTTCAGCTTTTGAACAAAAATGGACAATTTCGGAAGAGAATTATTATTAATAATAAAATTTATTATACAATCTCGTTGTGTAAATGAAGTACAGTAAATTCTCCCTAATTTCCCTTCAGCTTTTGAACAAAAATGGACAATTTGGGAAGAGAATTGTTATTAATCGATTATTCGAGGCTTGCGCCTCGTTTTTATAATTGTTGATAAAAGCAATGAAAATCGTGATGCATTTATAGCAGTCTGCATATATTATCCCGAAAAAGATGTCACATAAGTTCAACTTCATTTGTAAACAAACATTTCTAATTAATTGAAACACCGTTTGCAAAATTCACGCTTAATACAAATGATTACGAACGTTATAATAAATGTTCCACTGATCAGAATATATAATAAATGCATAAATATCCGCAGTGTAATCGTTACTAATTCGAGTTAACTTCATGTGGATTGTTTTTTTTTTAATTATGCACGTAAGAAGAGTTATGATTGCACTATGCAAAGTATAATTGTTGCTATAAAACTGAGCCGCGAGGCTCGAATTATCGTATCTCCTTTTCCCAAATTGTTCATTTTTGTGCGCGATCTGAGCGTCAATTAGGGAGAATTTACTGTACTTTGAAAATCAGTTTCGAAGCGCCAATAGTTAGCAAATTGATGATCTTATTGGTAAATAATACTAAATCGGAGAGCTTAATTTACACGGTATTTATGTTCATTTAAATATCAGATTTATTATCGAACTAATAATTCTTTTGAAAATTACTATCTAAGCTAATTTCAGATTGGCGGAAGATGTAATACGGATTCGTCGACTAGTTCCTTCGTTTCAATTTCTTTCCTTTTATTTATTAAAGTTTCATACTCGAGTAATTTAAGAAAAGATTATGGCGATCAATCGTGTTCGACTTATACAAAATAAAAGATACAAAGTACAAAATAAAATATACAAAGTACAAAATAAGATATACAAAATACAAAATAAAATATTCAAAGTACAAAATAAGATATACAAAATACAAAATAAAATATACAAAGTACAAAATAAAATATACAAAATACAAAATAAAGTAATCGTACTTACATAAACGTTTATTGAAAGTAATAACGTTGTCCCAGTTTTGAGACACCCTTTGCATTAGCGAATACTTTGCGACCTTTTGTATACTACAAGTATTAGAGAACTAGGACGTCACGACGTGCAACAATGGCAATTTGCAAGTTCGTAGTGGGTAGCAGTAAGTACGGTAGCGCCGTATCCGTGGGTAATACGTTCCAGACCCTACCGCTGTTTCGTGAAACCACGGATAATAGCCGATGCTATAGTGCGCACTGTAATGGTATTCATGTACCATTTATAAACCAGTTACAGGTAAAGTTGTATTGATAAATTAGGCATAGTGAAATATCACTGACATCGCGCACGTTGCTACCTGGACTGTAGTAGCACTTTGTGAATTTGCAATGTGTTATATACATATATTCTAACTTTCTAACATATATTTTAGAATATTTTGATCTTATTCTTACTTTTACAGAATCTTCCAGTCAACTAAATAAATATTCCCCATAGTTGAACTTGCATAAAATTAAATCTGAGAATGGAAATTTGCATAATGGTTGCGCGGCTTAGTAATAATAGCATACCTCAAAATTATACGTCACGATCGCCATAACATGATTCTATACTCTCGATTTAATCGATGTTAAATTAACGCAAAATTGACCACAAGTTCGAACGACTAACATTTCGCGTCAGTCATATCTGGACGACGATACTTTTTTTTACCAAACTTAGTGGATTTAAAGTGTAAAATAAACACCCTTAACACTCGGACGATGGACTCAGGGTCCATTTGGACCAGGATATTCGAATGTCAAGTTTCCGACGACTGATCTTACTGTCTCAAATTGTAACTATACATTTTTATATATAATATATGTATATAAATATATTATATTTTGTATTTAATAATATATATAATAATAGTAACATAGTAATATATAATAATATCACATAATAACACAAATAATATATATAATATAGTAATATATTAATATAATACATACAATATAATATGTATAATATATATAATAAATATATATAATATATAAAATAATAAATAAATAAATATATATTTATTTATTTATTATTTTTATCATCGTAACAACGTTTTGTTTAAACATCGCCATCCTTTCTGTATAGAACTCGCCTAATATAACAGTCTGTCTCAAAAGTGAAGTTATCGAAGAACTAAGTCGAGATATGATTTTTCAATTACGGCGTGTTCAATCGAATGTTCTTTTTGCAGGTCGGAATGCTGCCACGCAGACAGAGGATTTAAGATCCCCGACGCAAGTTAGTTAGTATAGCGTGGCGGCAGAGTGGCACCCAACGGTTCGTGACGTTCACCAAGTACAATGGTCATCCGAAAATTTTCGAAACAATTCATCTTCCTTGCTGCGCGTGTACCGGCCGCGGTTCGTCGCGGCGGAAGTTGAAGAAACGGCACAAATTCAACGCGATCATCGACTTCGCTCAGAGTGTGCTCATGTGAAGAGCATGCCCGATCTGATTCTAGACCTTGAACATAATTAATATATAATCTCAGGTACTTACATCGTATTAAATATAAGGGAGTTGGGTACGTCAGAGAGAGAGAGAGAGAGAGAGAGAGAGCTTCGCCGAATCAAAGCGAGTTCGTCGGTGACCCTTACTACTACCTATAAAAGTGATTACAATTTTATATTATAGGGTATCTCGTCGTTCGATCGAACACGATGAAGCAACCCGTTCCTCCGGATCGGTGGAACCGCGGTTTTTCTCGTCGTATCGAATCGGAGTCAAAGTAACTGCCTTCGGCACTAAATACCAAATGAATAAATAAACCGTAGCTAAACGTGGAGTTCTTTTAGAGTCGACCCTTTTGCATTACATGAAAGTAATGAGGAACTAGAGGACATTTTGTAGATTACTGGATATTAGCGATAGCTATAAACGACGTTAGCCTAAAAGGACGCATCGATGAAACGCACATATTTATTATTTCTCACGGACACACACGTTCATAGTAATCGCACAAATCGCAGGTAACGATAACGTTTAAGGTGTTGTTCCAATTTCGTTGCTATCGGATCGATGATACTGTTCTAACGATGCAGAAATTTCTCCCTGATCCGCGCCCTCAGATTGCGCACAAAAATGGACAATTCGGTTGGGGGAGATACGATTGTTCGAGTCTCGCGGCTCGTTTTTGTAGTTCTTGACAATCGGTAACTATGAGAATGAGCTGCAAGGTTATAATAATAATTATTATTATCATTATTATTATTATTGTTATTATTAATTATAATAATTATATATAATATAATAATAATAATATTATTATTATAATGTAATAATTATTATGATAATTATATATAATATAATAATAATATTATTATTACTATAATGTAATAATTATTATGATAATTATATATAATATAATAATAACATTATTATTATTATTATTATATTGTAATAATTATTATGATAATTATATATAATATAATAATAATATTATTATTACTATAATGTAATAATTATTATGATAATTATATATAATATAATAATAACATTATTATTATTATTATTATATTGTAATAATTATTATGATAATTATATATAATATAATAATAATATTATTATTACTATAATGTAATAATTATTATGATAATTATATATAATATAATAATAACATTATTACTATTATATTGTAATAATTATTATGATAATTATATATAATAATAATATAATAATATTATTATTATTATTATTATAATGTAATAAATATTATTAATTGGATAATTTGGGAAGAGGAGATAATAATAATAATTGTGTTATTATTATATTATTATTATTATTATTATGTACTCTTTCCAAATTATCCAATTTTGCGCGAATTAGGGAGAAATAGCCGTATTTTGTTTCCTGAAACCGGAATTGAGACAACTTATCGAAACAGTCACTTTAAGAGATCATACAATAACAATTGTAATACTTTTGATTACTTTTATACTGTTCGTGATTTCTCTTGAAATTATTTTGCTGTAACTATTCGCGATTACCAATTTCCGTTCGCAATTTAGCTAATTCAGTATACATAGTGCCGCGGGGATCGCGTTGCACGCGAACAGTTTGTTTACGTTCTCGGAGCTCGTTTTTGTTGGAAAGTCAAGAAAACGAAGACAATATTTTCACGGTATAACGATTGAACGTCGCCAGTTTCTACGACAATGCTGTGTTAACACGAATAATTTCCTTCTCGGTACTTTTGGAGGGGGGTTTAGGTTACAGTATTAGCCTGTTCAACCAGAATTAATAGTTCACCAATTGCTCGCGTATCAAGTGGATGTATGCTAACGACCGGCTAATTTGAATACGGATAGATTGCCGGTGCTGGTTCGGTTTTCTCTAATTGTAAGCCAATCCGTGGACCGGAGGTGGTTAACCGGTAGCGAAAAACTTGATTAATAGACTGTCGCCGCGGAGAATATATAAATCGCCGTTGCATTTTCCGAACGTTATTGATAAACGGAAACATCATTTTTCATTTGATTCTCTCTAATCTAAAGTCACGTGCATATACAACAACAAAAATGCATTTAGTACAGCTCATAAATATTCGAGCAATTTTCACGATTAATATTTCGTTGCTTTAATAATAACTTGAATTATTATTATTAAAATATTAATTGTTATTAGATGTTTTATTAAATAAAATTTTAATAAAACATTAATACTATTCACGCGTATCTTCGCAATTATTATCTTGAAAAATTGTTAGTATCTTATTTTGGGCTCTGCAATTACTATTTCGATGAAAGCAAAACTATGGACTCTGTGTCACTTGAACAAATTATGAACGGTACTGTTTGTCGAGTGATGAAAATTGGTCCCGAAAATAACAACAGTCGCGGAAATTCATATTAACAATTACGAAGAACCGCAATGAAGAGCTAACGCTATCGTTTTGATTGGCAATTAATTGGCAATTAATACGCAAAAGCAGCGACAAATGAAAATTCATCCAACCTTACTTTTCAAATAATGTAAAACATTCGATTTGTTCTGATCGTTTGCATTTTGAATATTCCACGCAGACGCGACATTACGATGACAACTTGCAATAATAACGAACTTGACGAAATTTAATTGTATATGACATCCTGATTACAACCTGTGAAGATCTTTTTTACAATCATTTAGAAACAGTTTTGAGGATAAATTAAATTGCATTAACAAGAACATGTGATGATTGAAGATTGAATTTATTTTAATATTCAACAAAAACGAATTAACGCAGATTTTCTAGTTCTATCTATCGTTTTCGATAGCATACTTTTTTTCTGTAAACATTCTTAACTGGCTGAATTATTTGCACTTGAAGGTATTTTAACTCCATTTTTTCTACCCTAGAATATTTGCGTTCAACTCAATTCAACTCAATTGTTCTTTCAATTGATACATACAAAAATACTGCAAAAATTATTTTGAATTATAGCATAATCATTTTTAACGAAGTCTCCGTTCCAGTACAAATGGTTAATGCCATTCCCACAGCAATGAACGACGAAAGTGTAGTGGCATCACAACTTTGTCCCCTCATCGACAAAACCATTAACACGTAACCGTATTCTGAATTTCTATAAATCGTAAGAGTAGAAGAAAAGAAGACAAAATGCGAATGCTGTACACTGCTTACAATGATTTAAATCGTAAAACCTACGGAATAGAAAATTAGACGGCAAGGATGATTTTGATACAACGACTTTGAAAAATTCTTCCTGCGTTGTATAATTTTTTCCTTTTACAGGGTTTTCCAATAGTAACTATCGCATACTTCGTCGAGAAGAAAACATACTTGCCCTTGAAAAATTATACGCGATCTATTATTTATGTTCATATTCGACGACAGCTCTCGTCGCGAAACAAATAATTAATAGAATCTAATCTTTTCGCAGAAATTGTTAACAATTTCATTCCACTTAGAACAGATACAGTAGGATCCGTTTCTGTTACAATTTCTCGCGCGTATACGAAACTACGGTAAGAAAAAAAGATCAATAATAATAATAATAAAAATAATAATAATAATAATAATAATAATAATAATAACAACAATTTAAACGGAAATTGAATCAAATAGGTCAATGAAATCGTAACGATATCTCCTAGACGAATAATAACTATTTAAATTGTAATTAAGCACATCGTAAATAAATCATTATTAGACAAAACACGTTATTGCTCATAAATTTAATGGGGCTTCCATATAAATTTTGGGTTACAAATCCGTTGGTTGGAACAGAGGGATAACGATCGGCGTTGCAGGTGATAACAGAATCAAAATGGGCGAGCCAAAAATGTATGACACGATAATCGAATATCAACTTAGAAACATTTCATAGGGTTTATATTAAAGGGGGCGATAGGCGGCGATTGAAGTACACGGTTCTCTTTTTGTATTAGTAGTACAATGGCAATTTATATCGAAAAACGCGAAGTTATGTTCTTTTTTTTTTATCCGAAAGGAGGAAACGATTTTTGCTCGATCCCATCGCTGGGGTAGTTTCTGTTGGAAAATTCTCTAAACTGTTCGCGGATCGTTTACAGGAGTACGAAGTGAAGGGTTTTGACGAGCGACGATTACGGTAATGTCTCCCCAACTGGCGCTCGGATTGTACAGAAAAATGGACAATTTGGGAACAACAGATAAGATTATTCGAGCCTTGCGGCTCGTTTTTATAGTTACGAATTGTCAACAACTATAAAAAAAACGAGCTACAAAAGGCTCGAATAATCTGATCTCTTGTTACAGTTGCTGACAATTTGCCACTATAAAAACGAGCCGCAAGGCTCGTGTTGAAATTTTAGCCTCGAACAAAAATTAATCTATAGTTTACTTAGTACTAAGATACTAAGATATCGGTTTACATTTTCGTCGGTTCCGTCAGCGGGCAACGACGGTGATGTAAACTGTATATAGTAGATACCGCGATACATCATCACCGGTACCATTAGATA